GCCCCTTCCCACCTTTAAAAAAAATATGCTGGAATACAATTTGCCATCAAGGTTTTGTTTTGTTTTTGTGCTGTGGGGCTGGGGATTGAACCCAGGGTCCTACACATGCTAGGTGGGGGCTCTACACTGAGCTACACCCTCAACCCCATTTCCTTTTATTTTTTATTGTACATGTTTGCAGTGCATAATGTTTACATTCCTTGTGTGGACTTGGTACGCGTACATAACACAGCTTGATTTCTTTTTTATCCCCTTTCCATCCCCTTCCTCTATCTCTTGTTCTCCTTCCTATTTGAGGAAGATCTCCCTACTTCCTGTTATCTTTTATTTTGCTCTTTATTAATATTTTGGGTTTCCTCCCCATTTTAAATGTACCATTAAGTAGCCTCACTTACACTCATACTGAAGTGCAACGAACGTCCAGATCTTTTTTCATCTTGCAAAACTGAGTCTGTATTCCTTAAACAAGTCCCCATTCTTCCTCCTGGCCTCTGACAACCTCCATTCCACTTTCTCTCCAGGAATATGACTTTTCTAGGTCCCTCATATAAGCAGAATGGTACAGTATGTCTTTTTTTTACTGGCTTATGTCAGCATCATGCCCTCAAGGGCCATCTGTGTTGTAGCACAGGTCAGGTTCCCCCCTTTTCTAAGACTGAGGATTCCTCCACTGTGCGGACAGACTGCAACTTCCTTCTGTACTTCCATCTTGTTGGCTCTCTCAACATCTGACTCCATCCTTTAACCCAGGTTGCAGCCTTTAAGAAGCTTTACCCAAACCTGTCCTCACAGTCCTTCATGAAGACCTGAGCACATGTTCTATGCCAGGCACTGTGCTAGATGACAGGCACACGGGACAGGAAGCCACAGTCTCCCTCATAGCCCTTCCAGCCTCAGCTTCCTGACCAAGCTGCGGTGACTCTGTGACAATCTTGGCTGTTCTGCTGCCACGAGGTTTGCCTACTGCTCTCCTCATTAGTCATTTCCTTTGTAAGCTCTTGGGGACCTGGGCTGCATCATCTCTCCGGACCCCCCGGGCCAAGCACCGTATACAGAACACAGGCAATGCACAATAAATATTTTTGGAATAGAATTAAATCTTCACCCCTTGGAATGCAGTCAAGGCACAGGGAAGCAAAATACTTCATATTTACATGGGAAATGAAGAGATGCTGCCAGAAAGCAAATCCAGGCAGGCAGACTGCCCCATCATACTCTTCTGGTAGACTGGTATTGGCAAGACTTGATGTCAGTTACATTTGGAGAGACTCATTGGAGAATCCCTTTCACACATTACAAGGCTCTTGTCCCTGATGTCAGGAATCTATTTTCTGTTATAGAGTCTCCTAGGCCACCTGAGTTCTGAATTTTCTCAGGTCCAAAGGATGTTGGCTTGATTAAAAGCAAATAGCAAGATCCAAGAACTTCTCTTGAAAGAAAGGTGTTGGTTTGGGGTGATGGACAAGGAGAAATGTAAAGAAAAAGAGAAAATGGTTCCAGGATATTTACAATACCCAAGCATGCTCTTTTTTTTAAAAAAAAAATTGAATCCAAGATCTTTGCCCTGAGCTACATCCCCAGCCATTTTCAAAATTTTTTGAGATAGAGTCTTCCTGTGTTGCTAAGATGCCCAGGCTGAGTTTGAACTCATGACCCTCACGTCTCCCAGTGTGCTGGGATGACAGCCTTGCACCACCACACCTGGCTTTCTAGACTTAATCTTTCACTGTAGCAATAAAGCCTTAGGAGCGATTTGTTAGGAGGTTGTACCCGGCGTAGATTTTGTTTGGCGGGGCACGAACGGTCATTTTCTCCGTCCTCCACCAATCTGAAGCCAGAATGAACCTTTCCTGGATGTTTAGCTAAGGGCCAAAGAGGGAGCTGGAGGATGGGGACACCTACGGGGTGGGATTGGTTGGGAGGGGAATCCTGGTGGCAGAGGGCATGCCAGGAACCAAGAATGGCCTGGAGGGAGGTGTGGGGCTTGGGCGGCAGGAAGGGGTGAAGGAAGACACAGGAGGCAGTTAGCATCGGTGGATAGCGGACTGGCTGGTTAGAAAGCAAAGTTGAAGCAGGAGAGAAGTGATATGTATGTCAGCACAGGGGCTGAGCTGGGCTTTCTCATGTGACCCACGGAGCACCGTGGCAAACTTTGAAAAGGAGGGTGAGGCAGTTTGGGAAGGTTAATATGGCACTGATGTGTCAGACAGGTTGGGCAGAGTGGGCCCCCCAGGGAACTGTGGTGGCCGGTTTTATGTCTCACTGGGGTGAGGCTACAGAACCTGGTGATTTAATCACATTTGCCATTTTACCGAGATGACACCAAAAGCAAAGAAGGATGCTCTTGCCCCTCCCAAAACTGAAGCCAAAGCAAAGGCTTTGAAGGCCAAGACAGCAGCACTGAGAGGTCCCCACAGCCACACTCAGGAAGAGAAGATCTGTCTACCACCCACCTTCCGGTGGCCACCACACTGTGGCTCTGATGGGAGCCTCAATATCCTGGGCAGAGCCGAGAAACCCACTTGACCACTCTGCCACCAAGGACTGCTGACCACTGAGTCTACCGTGATGAAGACAGAACACAACACACCTCTGTTCATTGATGATGTCAAGGCCAACAAGCATCAGGTCAACAGGCTACAGAGAAGCTCAGTGACACAGATATGGTCAAGTTCAACACTCTTCAGTCCTGACAGAAAAGAGAAGTCATGCTATTGGCTGATTCTGATGGTCTGGAAGTTACCAACAAAATGGGGATTATCTACCAAGCCCAGCTAGCTAACTCTAAATGCACATTTTCTCACCATTAAAAAGGAGCAACAAAGATGATTCTGGGTGTGGCTGATGATATCTTGTAGATGTGATTAATGTCCATAGCCAGCTGACTTTAATGGCAGGTGCCTATTTGAGATCCCCTGGGTGCACCTGATTCATCAGTGAATTCTCCCAGAAGAATAAGAAATGATGTCTGTGGACTGCCTGGTCCTCCTAGTGCCTACCCATGGATTGGGGACTTGCTTTGCTAGTCCCTTCAATAAATCTCAGATCCGTCACCTACTGGCTCTGTTCATCTGGTTGAACCCTGACGGATACAGGAGCAAGTCGATAGTGATGACTTGGGGTGGAGCAAGAGGGCTGTCAATATTTATTGTGCTACGTTTAGATGAGTGTCACCCAACAGTCTATATGTTAAAGGCGTGGTCCCAGGGAGGTGGTGAAAGCTTTAGGAGGTGGGAGGTACTTAGGTCTTGAGGGAGTCAAAAGGGATTGTCAAGCCCCAGCTCCTTCTTCCTCTTTGCTTCCTGGGCAGGAGGTGAGCAGTTTACTCTGCCACGGGCCCACCAGAGACCCAAAGCAATAGGTCTGCCCGATCTTGGACTGAAGGCTCCAAAGCTATGAGCCAAAATAAATCTTTTTTCTTTATGAATTAGCTTTTTAGCATGTTTTGTTATAATGACAGAAAGCTGACTAGAATATAGAATAGATGGAGAGAGGAGAAAGAAAAGACCAGGACTCACATTGGTTGGATGGAAGGCATGGGGTGAGAACAAAGCTCAAGGCAGGCTGAGCAGTGGTATTCAGGAGACGACCAGCAGGAGCTTGGGTTTCCACTCTCAATGTCCTCCTAATCACACAAGTATCTCTGTCTCTGGGGCTTGGAAAGCACAGGCTTGGGTTAGGACCTCAAGATGTCGTCTGGCTCCAACATTCTCTGCTTCCAAACTGTAGCCAATTCTCTACAAGTGCCTCATTTTCAATCAAAAGTGAGCGCTTTCTTCCTAAATGAAGCATATATATTTTCTTGCCCCCCCCCAAAGAGTCATTTAGTAAGTATAGAGTCAGTGGGTTTCTTTGTAGGTATCCAGCACTAAAGGAAGGGGTGGAGTCAAACTTCATGAGATCTCAAACACAGTGACTTGTGTTGATCAGCCCAAGAGGAGCTAGAGGTACAGAGGAGGATGCTGGCAATATTAATAATAATTAATACTTATTACCACTGACCAGACACTGTGCTAAGGGCTTAAACAGGCATGAACTCTTAAGCTCCCCCAAAATTCTGATATTTACCCATTTATTCAGATGAAGAAACCAGGGTTTCAAAAGCTACATCATTCAACTTCTCCAAGGTCACGAAGCTGGACTGAAGGGAGGAACCCACCCTCTTCATGTTAACAGATTTTGATCTCTTTTTTCCCCTCCACACAGCCTGGGATTTGATGCTGGAAAAATGACCAGACTGCCAACAAGAGGAATCACCCCATATTCTGGCCACCCCAGCACACGCCACTGCTGAATGTGGGTGCTCACCTCTGGGTCATGCTCCTCTAAGAACCGTGACCCACACCCGTCTATCACAATCTGTGCTCCAATAGGAACACGTTCCAAGTGTTCTCAGAATGGCTCTATGAGTTTGGGGTTGGAAAGCAGAGACCAGAAACTAGTGAGTCCTTTCCTTGCTGACGCTGCTGTGGTCCTTGTAGCCAGCAGCCTCTCCGGGTTCAAGGTGAAGGGCTTGGAGGGAACAGTGGTTGGGCTCTGGCATCCCTACATCCTTCCACCTCCAGCAGGGGAGAGAATTGCCGCCCCTTTGCACTACTTGGGTCTGACCAACCCAACATTCATTCATCCAGCAACCAGTGTCAGGAAACCAAGGCTCGGATGCAGGGTGGTTGGCATGGCAGAGACAGGGTGAGTCGGGGGGGGGGGGCAACAGCTCAAAAGGGTTCTACCTGTGGCACGGGGAGGTCCCAGGGTGACGTCTGCCCCACTGTCAGTGCCGCTGAGGTAGAGAAGGCTGTGTCACCTGGCCCTCCAGGAGAGGGACTGTTGGATTTTCTCAAACTCTCCCTGACGTCTGGTCCAGAGTTTTACCACCTCCTGCCTGGATCACTGCGAGAGCCTCCTAACACACCCAACCTACCCTCCTCCCAGCCAGCGGCACGACCTGCTGAGCCTCCCCTTGGACCCTACTCCAGCCTCAGGCCTGGCCCGGGGCCTACCTCGGCTCCCACTTTCGACTGCAGCAACAGCCGGCTGTGCCTTTCTCCATGCCGTGCTCACTGTGAAAATGCCAGTTCTCACTCACGGTCTGGACCCAGGTGTCTCCGGCAAGAAACCCTTCTGCTTATACAGGACCTAAACAGCACTGACCCCTCCCGATCCCTGCCTGCCGAGCTGAGGCGGCTGACCTCATGCAGCGCTTTCAGCAGATTTCTGGTGTATTGTGACGCGGTTTCTTTGCACAAGTCTCCCGGGCTCTCAGCATGTTGGGGACAGGCACTGCCTGACTTCTGCCCTTAACCCAGTACCGGGCAGACAGAGGGCACAACCACCCCACGGCCCATCGTGGGAAGCTTGGGGTTCTGTCTGAGGCTGGATCCCATCTCCACATCCACCTTCGCCCCGTGCCTCAGTTTCCCCGTGGGGAGAGATTGGGGGAAGGGCGAAGAGGGAGCCCGAGGAATCTCAGTCGCCAGGGAGGAAGCGGCTTCCATTCATTAGCATTTGTAAAGGGCTCCGCGCGCTGCAGATGGGAACTGCTCCGCGCAGGCAGCTTGTTAGGACTAAAAATAGAACCGTGTAGCACCTTCTCGGCTCGCAGCGCTCAGAGGGGCGGCAGGGCAGGGGATAGGTAGCCAGAGGTGGAGGAGGCGGGCCCAGGCTAGAGGGTGGCACCTGCGGGCGAAGGACCGGGACTCAGGACGCTGGAGCGCGGGTCTGGCGAAGTGACCCCGGCGCGCACCGTCTGCCCAGACGGTCGGAGGCCGAGTTCGCAGCACCGGGGGTGGGGCGGTCCCCGGGCGGGGAGGAGGGCAGGCAGAGAGCGCCTCGCTGGGCTGGGTGGCCGGGCGGGGCCTGCGGGGCCAGACGGCGGCGGGGCTGTGGGTGGGCAGCAGGCTGGGGAAGAACCGCAGGGGAGGGGGCCGGGCCCACGTCCTCCTGTGACTCAGGTCTGACTCAATGCCGTTTCTGAAACAGCCGGGGGGCGTGGGGGGGTGCTGTTTTTGCAAAATGACAAAACAGCTCCTGGCTCCGGGCAACCTGAGAAGAGCTGCAGGCGGCTGGGAATCACCCCGGGTGCCTTAGCGGGCGGCGGAGGGTCTCAGCCCGCTGCCTCGCCTCGTCTCCTCCCACAGGGACCCCGGGGCGCGGGGCGGGGCAGGGCGCGCCAAAGGGCAAGGGCTAAAACTGGGAAGGGGCGGCTGCGGATCCGGATCCGGGGCGAAGGATGCTGTGCAGGAGGAGAAAGGCGGCTACGGGCCGGGCGCGAGCGGCCTCGGGATGAAGGGCAGCGCGCACCCTGCAGGGCGACTGTCGCGCCCCGCTCTCCTGAGCCCTCGTCCACACCGGGTCCTCCCCGAGCTGAGGCCATCCCCGGTGCCACGCCGGTGCCCATTCAGAGCCCGACAGGAGCCCCGGGAACTTTGCCTTCCAGCTTCACACTTGGAGCTGTGCAGTCTCCAGAGCAGGTCCGCGAAGTTACCCCGCTCGCCGCCCACCCGGGCGTCTCCGTCTGACACACGAAGAAATGGGAGCCTCAGCAGACCTCGCTCCGGCTTCAGTTAGAAAGTGAGAGAAACAAGGCCGCGCAGGCAAACCCTGGGGCTTCTTATTCAGGAAATTTCACCGGGTTCTTAGCGCCAGGCATCTTCCTTTGGGGACTTTCAGGATTTGACATTGCTGGGATGGCAAGAGCTGAGAACAGACATGAACAACAGCCACTGATCTCACGGAATACACGATCCAGGGAGAAAGAGAGAAAACACAATCATAAAGTGCGGTATAGACCACACTGTTCCATACAGGAAGCAGATTTCCTAAGGGCCGGGGCCTCAGTACTGACCAGAGCCATGCCCGGGACTTGAACCCAGACAGTCTGACTGCAGGGCCCACCCACGTGCCACCAGCGCACTAACCTGCCTCTCCCGTCTCCATGCTTAACTGTGTAGATTTAAGGGAGACCAAAAAAAAAAAAAAAAAAAGAGGAAATCACCGAGCAGCCCATGCAGTATGCTCCCTGTTAAAATGCACATAAACACAAGAAGGACAATAAAAACTTTAAAAAGATGAGAATATATGTCAAAAAGACAGGTGACTTGTTTACTTTCCTTTTTTACAAGGCCCATATTTTCTGCACTGAACATGAACAAGAAAGAAAGAAATCACTAAATGTAGTGTACACCTTAGATGCAGAGCTTTCCAAAGTCGATGGTTGATTTTTGCCCCAGTGGGAGTGGAGGAGTTATTCAAGTTGTGAGCTGGGAAAGATCCTGCAGAGAGGACTTTGTGCCCTACAGGGACAAAGTAAGGGCAGGGAAACAAGACCAGCTCAAGAAATGGTGGGGAGGTCCGTGTGATGGGAAGGAACGGGGGAAAGAGGGGGCATGAGGCCTCAATCACACTTCTAGGGAAGCCCTTCCAAACCCTAATAATCTCCTACAGTCGGCCTTTGGAGGGGCATTCCCCTGGGGACCCAAGAGAGCCATGGCAGACTGGGCTGAGATTCCTGATGGCTATTATTGTGTTATAAATCTCTTTCTGTTTGGAGGAGAGAGAGAGGGTAGTAGGACATTAGACTCTGTCAACGTATTTGGGTCAGAAGGTGCCAAGTGCTCGGTGGAAATCATGGAGGCTGGGCCACCCCCATGCGCATTTTCATTAATCCAAGCCCGTTGCCATAACTCTGCGCTCGGATCCGAGTCCCCAAAGATATCCCATCAATAAGGCCCCACTTACGCCATTCTGCCCATCTCTGTGAGGTCTCCCGGGTGCACCGGTGCTAATATCAGCCTCGGCTTATTAAAGCACTAGATTTTCAGGTGGTGGAAGGCAGGTCTTGTGCCCCGCACCCTCCCCAGGCTTTCCAAAGTGCCCTGATTCCCTTTCGCCCCCGCTGAGGAACCGGCAACAAAGGCCAGCTCATTGTTCTTCCCTCCTGGCTCTGGCCCTGCAGAAACATCCTGACTCCTCCCACTCCCACCGTAGAGTTACAGCGCTGAGTGCACAAAATGCAGACTAGCAGCTTCTCTGAAGATTCCGAGTTCCAGGCTGGAAATAGAGGGGCCTTTGCTCACGTCATTGCATGAAATTCACCATCTGCCACTTGAACAAGAGTCAGGGACGTTTCATGTGAAAACGCAGCTCTTGCTTGGGCAGCTGGCTGGATTTCAGGGTGAAGATTGCAGCTGGAGATGGCAGCCTTGAGACCTGGGTCACCCAGGTTAGGTAGCTGGCCTCATACCTGGCCATGGAGATGAACCCACAGTCATAGATCTCCCTTGAAACAGTACCTCTGTGCACACACAGACCACAGACAGCAGGGACCAGGGTAGATCAGGCTGCTTGACTAGTAGCTGGTCCAGAGCTAAGGCTACTACCCCGGTGTCAGGGTAGGTACCGCTTCCTCTGGCTTCCTTCTTTTTCTTTAACTGCCTTGTAGGCAAAGAGGCAGATAGACCATGAGGAGCCCTTGTGATAACCCAAAAACGTGGAGCTAGGGATGTTGCTGAGTGTTAGCGTGTTTGCCTGGCAAGCAGGCTACCCCAAAACCCCTGCATTTCAAAAAGAAAAAAAAAAAAACCCTAAATATCTATTTCTCTGGTCCCGGGCTAGGGAAAACCTGGTTTACCTTTCTTGTCAAGTCTTGGCTGGTGAGCAGTCAAAGTATATTGGGGGTTTGTCTTTTATCTGATTTGTTTTTAATGGTCCTAAGGATTGAACCTAGGGCCTTACACATGCTAGGTAAGTGCTCTGGAGCAGAACTATGTCTCTGACCCCTGATTGTCTCTGCAGGGCAGTTTTTCATATCTTAGATTTGTTTGCCTGTCTTCAAGCCTCAAGGGAGTCTGGGAAGAGCTGCCTTCTGCCGTGTGACCATCTTGAACTGCGTTCCCTCCTGCAGTCACTTCATCTCTCCTGAGCAGAGGTGGGGGAATGAGGAATAGGTTTTACTCTTCCTTTTCACTCCCCACAGAACCCAGCCCAGTGTCTTAAACACAGACAACGCTGAACTCCAAACGCATCTGCGCAACACCTACCTGATGTCTCGGGAGGATGTCTAAGGTCATAAACATAACTCCTGGCCTCTGCCCCTTCCTCACACCCAGAAACCTGATCTTCCTCATCTTAGTTCAGAGCAACTTCATCCTTCCACTGGCTCAGGTAAAAAAAATCTTGCGGTTATCTACCATTCTTCTCTCACCCCACATCTAATCCTGTAGGAAGCCCTCTTGCTGGGAATGTGACCACATCTATACTTCCTCCGTCACCTCTTGCTGGGCTGTGGCCCTGGGCTCCCTCTGGACCTCCACAGCCTGTTTTCAATGTGGCGCCAGAGAACTAGTGTTAAAATCTAAATGAGATCATGCCACTCCTCTGCTCAAATCCCTTTAATGGCTTCCCATTTCTCTCCAAAAGCCACAGGTTACACGTGGTACTTGTGGTAGACAGGACCTGCACTCATTAAGCCCCATATCATCCTACTCGCCATGCCCTGTCCCCTTGACCTTACTGCAACCATGCTGGTCTCCTTGAGTTCCTCAAATACCAGGCACACTGCTGGGCTGTCTGCCTTCTTGGCTCCTTTATTGTCATTGCTCAGGTGTCTATTGGTGAAGTCCACCCAGCCACCATATGTAGATTGCAAATGTCTCCTATGATGGCATCTTCTATCTTCTGTATTCTGCTTGCACATTGGACTTAGATCCAGAATGTTATGTACTATACTCATGTGTTGTTATGGCTTGTGTCTAGATGTCGGCCCCAAAGTCTCATGCAGTCTTAGGTGGGGCTTTTTCAGAGGTGGCTGGATCTAGAGTGTGTGACTGATTCATGGGGCAATGCTAGGATTGAAGGTGTCAGTCCACTGATTGGTTTGGCACTGCCCTGCTTCTGGTAGCCTGGATACAATATAAGAGACAGAAAGAGGCTTGTCAGGTCCCTTGTCCCTTGCTCCCTTGTTTTGCTGTCTTCAGTGTGCCGTGAACTATTTCTCCTCTGCGACACCCTTCTGCCATTTGCCACTCTGCCTTGGAGCCAGCCAACTACGGACTGAAACCTCTACAAACTGTAAGTCAAACGAACCTTTTCTACCTTAACTTTGGGTGGCAGGTATTTTATCTCAGCAATGGGAAAATTAAGACATGTATGTTTTTCAGTGT